GGTGCGCGGGGGTGGGGGTGGGGTCGGGGGGTGCGATGGGGGGGCATCTGGTCCGCAGGCTGCTGAGCCTGGACTGGCCGAAGGAGGAGGGAGGGGAACGGGGGCAGCCCTATCCATCCCACTGGACTTCAGCTGGCTTGCTGCCTAACCTTACCCGACCTCATAACGCTCCACTCCAACCCAACCCCAAACACTATGTACCCTCTCCTCCATACTGGGGATCTGAAGGGGTGCGATGGGGGGGCATCTGGTCCGCAGGCTGCTGAGCCTGGACTGGCCGAAGGAGGAGGGAGGGGAACGGGGGCAGCCCTATCCATCCCACTGGACTTCAGCTGGCTTGCTGCCTAACCTTACCCGACCTCATAACGCTCCACTCCAACCCAACCCCAAACACTATGTACCCTCTCCTCCATACTGGGGATCTGAACCTAGGAGCGCTCCAATGTGCTACAACAGCAGCCCTTTCTATGTTAATTAAGGTAGGGTCTTGCCAAGTTGCTCGGGTTGGCCTCAAATTTGCCACTCTCCTGCCTCAGTCTCCCGAGAAGCTGAGATTACAGGTGAGCACCACTGTGCCTGCCCCCTGCTCCTACTCTTATCACCCATCCCACCCACCAAAACTCCAGTCCACACAAACCATTCCACACACAACCACCCGCCGCCTCCTTCTGATCTTGTCCCTTCTAACCCCGCCCTTAAGGGGGTGCCTGCCCAATGGGGTGAAAGCTCCTTCTATAGTTCAGAAAATACAGTGGGCCAGAGTGGCCGACACTGGGTTACTTGGTGGCAGTCATTTGCCATCCAGTGCCGGCACGACCAGAACTGCTCCCAGCTGTGAGCCACTGGAGGAGCTATGGCCGCAGCCCTGGCATCCGGGATCAGTCACCAAACACTTAAGCACTGTGCCCAGTCACGTGCTAGGGGCAGCGCTGGGGGCCAGATATCGAAGAAGGAAAGGAACAGTCCCTACCTCAAGGGGGCCAGGAGAGGACAGGAGAGCACTATTATACAGTACCTCCCTCAGTACTTAACCCAGTCCCCTGGAGGGGAGGTCGCAGAGAGGGTGCATCACGGTGCAGAGGTGTGGTTTCAGGGCCACGAGTGCAGATGGGGATAAGCAGGTGGCACGGGGTCAGGCCAAGCCAAGGATGGAGGTGGGAAATCTCCAGTCCTGCGTGGGACGCAGGCTCAGAAGATGGTCCCTAATCATTCATTCATTCTCGGGCATTTATTGGGCACCGACTGTTTGTCAGGGCTTTTCTTGGTTCTGGGAGCAAAGCTGTAAAGACAGACGACGCTCCAGCGTCAGGGAGCAGCTGCAAGCACAGACCCCGAGGAGGGCGGGTACTGCTAGCTTGAAGTGTACATCACCCTGTGGACCTAGGGGACAAGGAGCCAGGGTGGCAGATTGAAGGCTGTGGACCCTGGAGGCAGGCCGTGAAATCACCAAGTTTGGGAGTAATTTTTTTCTGGGAGCCTGCTCTCCAACTCCCAGCAATTTTCTTGCCTCGACCTCCTGAAGGCTGGTGTCACACGCGTGCGCCACCAGGCCCAGCAGAGAATCACTGTTATGCAAATAACAGAACAAGGGCTAAGTGACTTAGTCTCCCTCACCCGGCTCCATTCGGGATCAGCTCCGCAGACCCATAAGCAGCGCACAGTAAAAGGCACGGCTGCCTGGCCAACGTGTCCCGGGATGTTCTGAGGGTGCGGCGGCCGAGGTCGCCCTAGCTGCGCGGGACGCTCACCCTCTGCCCTCTGCCTCCGCAGGTCGGCCTCTGGAAGAGCCAGGCGGGCGCCCCGGA